TCCATTTAAATGTTACTAAAAAAACAGTGCCACTACTTGGAACAGTGGATAATACATTATTGGTAGGGCTGTGGAAATTAAAGATGAATTTCTTGATTAATCATTAAACTTTTTGATCGATTTACAATTATTTTGATCGCTAATGAAAACACCTCTCCGCCGGCTTCCGGAAGTCCGGTCGGCGATCCGGTGACGTCACGGACATCGAAGTCACCGGACTCCTCCCCCCCCTTCCCCAAGTGGCTCAGTCGGCTAACGAAGGGAAGGGGGGAGGAGTCTGGTGACGTTGATGTCCGTGACTGCTAAGTAAGGGAAGGGGGAGGAGTCTGGTGACATCACCGGACTCCTCCCCCCTTCGTTAGCCGATGGAGCCACTTGGGCCGGTGAGTTTGCCCGAGAAACCTTCTGCATGAGCGCCAGCCAAGGCATTGGCCTATACACATTCAGCACAGCAATGAAGTAATAAAATGAACTAGGATCACACTCATCCAGCACGTTATTATTCTGAGTTGCCCCACTCAAGCGGCGGCCATATTGAGTGGGGCACGTGAGATTAATAACGTGCTGGATGAGTGTGATCCTAGTTCATTTTATTACTTCATTGCTGTATGTGTATAGGCCAATGTAGTTGGATCCGTATGTGCGTTATAATTAATCGAAATTTTTTTTAATCATTACCAGCCCTAATTATTGGTGGTCCTTGAAGACCGCGGTATGGTATGAATATGATGAACTTTACACCACAGACTGGAGCCTGTTCTCTGGGCGCACGGTGTCTGTTTGACTTTCTGTGAACAATAACATAGATACGGTGAAGGTTTTTGGAGAACATTGTGTGTCCAGCATGGTGCTCCCAGTTCTGTGGATTTTTCCTACATTTCTGTAGGTTGATATGACTTCAGACTCTGGACACCAGCCGCCCTAAGCATTCATTAAAGGAGATGTAAAGTCCCAGCATATCCTCTCCTGTTATAACATCAGCATTGTAATAGGAATACATAGTAGAGTTGTCTCTGATAATGCAATCAAAGGTTACTTGAAAAAAATCCCTTTTATGTAGTGAGTGCTGTCTTCTGTCTGCACATCACTTCCACCAACTTCCTGGATTCCCAGTGTGCTTTGTGTCTCTTTTCCAGCTGCTTGATATGATGTAATCTTCACTTCTCAAGGATAAATATCCCATCATGCATTGCTTCCAGCAAGCAGTGATAATGTTACATTGTTCAGATGTTGAGTTGTAGTTCAGAAGACAGGCTCTGTGAGTTGTATTTTCCAATCTGTCAGCGCTTGATGAAGGTCTGAAAGAAACACGTGGAGGCGGGTAATCTGAAACTGTTCAGCGACAAGTTGGGATGCAAGAAACAACAGCGCCTTCTCATGAAATACTGTTTAATTTGTCAATAAAAAACTAAATGAGAAATATATATGCTCACAAACACAGTCTGTATAATGGGCATTCAGAACAAACACCCAAATTGGTGGACTTAGGTAGGCACCCTGTTGAGCTATCCGACAGCCAGAATGTGAACAGAAGCAATCTATAAGGCCTTGCTGACACGTTTCCAGGGATAAACCCTCTTCCTCAGAGCAAGTGGATGTTTGTTCTGAATGCCCATTATACAGACTGTTTGTGAGTATATGTATTTTTTATTCAGTCTTTTATTGACAAATTAAACAGTATTTGACGAAGGAGAAGGCGCGCTGTTCTTCTTTCTCGTCTGTGAGAGTTGTGACACAGGGTGTCAGTGCATGGAGGAAGTCCATCCTATGGGCATCTTCAATGAGTCAGTTTACAGACTTCTAGATGGATCTGGTTATTAGGAGTGGGGTAGAACTTATGGAAATTCAATCTGGAAATAATGTATTTATTAGTTTTTGACCATAGATACCAATTAACAAAAAGTGATTGGGAGCAGAGACTTGTGAGGCTTTAAGCCAAAATCTGGGCTCTACGCTTCTCTCACAAAGTGTCCCCTTTACCCCCTCAGGTACGTGTGTCTCAGGTATGTGTGTGTTGTGCTTTTCTTTTAATGCCCCGTTGAACCCAGCTTGAAAATTTTGACAAATCGGTAAATTAAGAATTCATTGTCGCCTGCGTTTTGGTGGCGTTTTCAAGTTTCCCCTCCAGCAAAATCCTCAGTGTGTTAGGCTACCTTCGGGGTGGGACTGTGATCCTGCCTGTGGGGCCAGTGTCCTGCAGGAGTGGTCCAACATGCCCCCAGGCTCAGTTGCTGGCCACTCACTGCAAGGAATGCCCCCTACAAGACGCTGGCACTGGGACTTATAGTATATGTACAGATGTGGAAGTTGCTGGGAGTGACGTCTGCACGCATCCTACAGCTGCCATTGCAGAGGATCGGGCCACCAATACTGGAACAGAAATAGGGATATTATAGTGTAAAACCATAGCAGTTAGAAAATTATGGAGCAAGCAGCTCAGGTACCCAACTGACTCATTTATTTAAAAAAAAAAAAGGGCGGTAGGGTTCACAATTGGGCTTTAATATATTTAACTTTATCCCTATGTTCTTTGGCCAGTCACATGATGCACCTGGTCCGCTTCTCTTGATGTTCTCCATGAGTGGGCAGAGGGAGGTGCTGATGTGATAATATCGGTGCCACTCTCAGGATAAATACATAGTGAATGTAAAACACCAAGGGTAAAGCCCACCACCACTTTCCAGTAGCCTCCCCTACCACCCCCAGCATGCATGCTGGATGTTATTAAGCACAGAAGACTGACATCATTGTGGTGGCTTAATACTATGGGGGACGTCTACAGAATGAACAGCCTGAGCTTATATATATATATATATATAGTTTTCAGCCCAGATATGGATTTTAAAAAATAGAGGCATATATACAATGTACACCGCTGTTTTAGTTTTCAAGCTGTTATCAGCATGTGACACTCGTGATAGTGTGAAAGTCCAATATAAAGCTCTGCCGTCAGTGTATTTGAAAACGCCGACATCAGGTGGTATGTAGGTGATTAGGGACACGATTATTCCCATTGCTCACTTGCCACAAACCATTGTTTTCAAAGTGCTGCTATATATACACCTCTTCTTCATGTGACCTGTGTGTGAGAGAGAGACAGGTGTGTCACCGTTTGTCATTCAGAGTCTTCTGATGTGTATAAAGTTTGCGTGTATAATTTTCTGTTAATATGTAGAGCTGTCTTAACAGGACTGGACTCATTTAAAGCCCATTATTTAGCACTGTGTATCACACTCTATAACATGATATGCAAATATATCAAACTCTCAGCAACGATGCCTGCCATCCCTACGTCTTGGTTACATGTATTTGTATATGAAAAGCAAAACTCACTGTACTCGAGCACACACAGCTCTCTCCCCACTATCCACAGCACACGTGACATATGTGCTCCAACGCACACAACTTACTCCCCGCTTTCCCCAGCACACGTGACATATGTGCTCCAACGCACACAGCTTACTCCCCACTTTCCCCAGCACATGTGACATATGTGCTCCAACGCACACAGTTTACTCCCCACTTTCCCCAGCACATGTGACATATGTGCTCCAACGCACACAGTTTACTCCCCGCTTTCCACAGCACACGTGAGATCTGTACCCCAACACACATAGCACAAGTGATATCTATAGTCCAGCACGCATAGCTCACTCCCCATAATCCACAGCACAAGTGACCTCTGTGCTCCAACACGCATAGCTCACTCCCCGCTTTCCACAACACACATGACATATGTGCTCCAACACGCATAGCTCACTCCCCGCTTTCCACAACACACATGACATATGTGCTCCAACACACATAGCTCACTCCCCGCTTTCCACAACACACATGACATATGTGCTCCAACACACATAGCTCTCTCTCCATAATCCACAGCACAAGTGACATCTGTGCTCCAGCACACATAGCTCTCTCCCCGCTTTCTACAGCATACATGACATCTGTGCTCCAACACACACAGCTCACTCCCCATAATGCACAGCACACGTGACATATATGCTCCAACACGCATAGCTCAATCCCCATATTGCACAGCACACGTGACATATATGCTCCAACACACAGAGCTCCCTCCCCATAATGCACAGCACACGTGACATATGTGCTCCAATACACATAGCTCACTCCCCATAATGCACAGCACAAGTGACATATATGCTCCAACACGCATAGCTCAATCCCCATATTGCACAGCACACGTGACATATGTGCTCCAACACGCATAGCTCAATCCCCATAATGCACAGCACACGTGACATATGTGCTCCAACACGCATAGCTCAATCCCCATAATGCACAGCACACGTGACATATGTGCTCCAACACAGATAGCTAACTCCCCATAATGCACAGCACACGTGACATATGTGCTCCAACACAGATAGCTAACTCCCCATAATGCACAGCACACGTGACATATGTGCTCCAACACACATAGCTCTCTCCCCATAATCCACAGGAAACTTTCCAGCTTGTTTTATAACCTCGTGCTGCTACTGGCCTTCCTCATTCTAAGAAGACGTAGCATAGGTGCACCCCTGATGGTGTTGGGCAGGGATTGAGGGGGTCCTGAGTGTGGAATGAGTTACTTTAAAGTGGGCCAATACCGCTCCAACTGTTTTCTGTAAATATCTGCCTTTCTGTGTCCGCCTTCAGTCATAGAAGACATTTCCAGCAGATCATTTCAAGGGGGTGAAGAGTTTTCCTGCCCGATTGCAATTCTACCCAGAAAACAATGGTGCATGAAAATGTCTGTACAACTCTCTGACCTCGCACACTCACGTGACACAAGCTTGTATGTCTAATTCAGAAGTAACATCATACGTGCAGTGCCTTCTTATGACTGATCAGCTTAGTAATAGTACAAGTTAATTGGTTAACTGTCAATACATCTGGTACATGTGTAACCAGATTACATATTAGCAACAATCTAGTGGTGACTTTTACAAGATCTGTGTCATAACTTTCTCTCCCTGTTTCTTTCTCTCTTTAAGCAAAACGCTTGAGGATCGCCTCAAGGTAGAAGAGAAACTTGGAGCGCTCAATGTTGCCGATGCAGCAGTGGGAAGCAAACAGTTGACATTCACACTGAAGAAGGTAAGACTGGGATTTTGAAGGGGACCCATCTCGAAAAAGTTGAAAATGAATCATTTTAGTCCGCTGATGGGGGGTACAAGCTAAAAAAAAATCTTTGCCCAATGAATTTTGACCAGGCCGTGTGTTCAGTGTTGCATGGAACAATACGACAGCTGGAGCTGTAAAGCTGCCAATAGGCACCGGATGATATTACAACAAACTAGGCTGTGACTTCATAGCAGGCGACGGAGTGCTGGAGCTCTATCTGGTCACCTTCTAGTGACTGAGCATCTAAAGCTGGCTCTTGCAAGAGTCATCAGCTACAAACCTATAACTTGCTGGTTCTAACAAAGAGTCAACACCTCCACACACAAAACATACTGGCTCTTGCAAAAGTGTAATGGAAAAGATGCTCCAGGCAAGTCACTTACAGTAGGGGCTTCCTGATCGTGTAGGCAAGAACCTGATTTTTCTGCTGGCATCCACTTTAGCAGTGTGTGTCTACACCAGACGACTCTGTAATTGGATCCACAAACCAAATAGATCAAACCGGTGCTGATGTGACCACATTGTTGTGCCCTCAATCCAAACTCCATTTGGGGGCAGCCCTCTCAACCTCAACCAGGGGGTCTTGAAGCATATATGAAAAACAGAAAAAGGCGCCTCCTCCCTGTGTAATAATATTAAAGAAGATTAAAAATGGATAATAGTACTCTCAAACATGGTAAGGACATGGGCATAAACATCACCAATCCAGCCCTCCAAGATCTTTCCCTCAGAACTCAATTGGACAGCATAACCAAGCGGAGTAATACACCGTCACTGGACTCGCCGGTGATGCAGTTTAGCGATTGTAATATCATTTATTAAAGAAAATAAAAAATGGATAATAGTACTCGCAAACATGAGGAGGTGGGCATAAACAACACCAATGCAGCCCTCCTAGATCTTTAAGATTGGTGATGTTAATGTCCACATCCTCCATCATTTTTCTGGGTACCATTGCCCATTGTTCTGTCTTCTATACTCTGTAAATGGATATAAATAATTTAAAATAAACTGTAATAAGATACATTTGGAGGATGTCGTTGCTGTTATCTCCTTTGTGCCATGCTGGCCCCTTTGCTTCAATACTTTAAGCTACTGATCTGGCACAAGCAGACACATGAGGCCTTCTGGCCTTTCCTTAATTTTACTAATCTGCATAATTGTTCTGGGTCAGTGACTGCCTGGTTCTGAGAACCTGGCGGTCAGGATTTTTAAGAGGTGGTCCGCATTGCAATCTCCTCTAACATTACTTCAAAGTAAGCTTGTCATAAGCATTAAAACGCAAAGCCACCCTTTTCTAGTACCTAAACTTACCCTTGGTGCCAGCCAGCCATGACATTTTGCCAACAATACCAAGTAATTGCACACTGTGGTATGCCCCCGTGTGACAGCTATGGAGCCCGACGATCTGTTACTCTGACACCGCAGACTGCAGGGGGTGCGTCACATTTCATACACAGTTTTATCTTCATTTAAACTATGTGGCTGCTTCAGGTTGCCTCTGAAGATTCGTTTAGGTTCCTCTGGATTTTAATATTTATGACGGTTTTGCATTTCCACTTTAGCAGAATTCAGTAACAATTGCAAAGTACGAGGTTTACAACTGTCATTGTAAATTTCATTCCATTCAACTTTCATTTCAAATGCAGTGGTAGTAATCTTCCCACTCAGTGGAAGCTGCTTTGGTGGGTCGAAAATCTCCATGGATTTCTTTGGCTTAGGAAAGACAACTGAACACATTAGACCTCATTTATTATTATTATTATTCTTATTATACAGGATTTATATAGCGCCAACAGTTTGCGCAGCGCTTTACAATATAAGGAAGACATTACTGTTGCAATATAATTCAAGACAAGATGGTAAGGAGGGCCCTGCCCCTGAGGGCTTACAATCTCAGGGGAAAGTTGCCCATTGACGCCAGAGTCCAGAGTTAAAGGTTTTTGGACTCGGACTGTTAGGCGCTCTCATTAGACTTTATACACATAAATAGCAGTGACTGGCCTGGGCCTCTTCACTGCCATTCAGTCAGTCCTAATTCTGGGACTATTACAGTCATGCAGTGACATCATCCACCAGTCAAATAGTCCTGATAAGTAGATTGTGCCAGTGCACTTTGCTCGATCTGTTTCATCATCGTCCAGGAATATATAGGTGGTAACGTTACTCTGATAAGTATGTCATATTCAACATTTAAAGCTATTGCAACACCTTTGCTTGCCTTACTACCAGCCAAAGGGGAAGTTGTCTGCATTTGCTGAGAACAGAACACCAAGAGCCCGTTCATTCCAGAGCAAATGAAAGCGTGACGCATATAATAGTGCTCATGCATGAGCATTTATGAGATTTTCGAATCATTTTGTTCTGTTTTATGAGAGTTTCCAACATTATATCAGCCCTTTGATGCATATTGTTAAACACGTAATTGGGGCTCTCAGTAGACTTTAGATACTTTTAATGTTGAACACCCTTGGTGGTGGTTATTACCATTGTGTACACTCATCCTGTGAACTACTCCTGAAAAACTAAATGTCATCTTTAAAGATGAACTCCAGGGATTAATATGTATCTAAAATACCTGGGAACTGTTTACTTGCCTAAGGAATTCAAATTCTGGCCAGCCACTGATTTGGGTACCCCAGCCAGGACATTTGAGCTTGGTTGAGAACCGTGGGGCACAACTCACCCCCTGTTTGCTGATTAGGCAATGAAACAGCAGACTGATGAACACCTCCCTGTGCTCACTCTGATCTATCCTCGTGTCAGCATGCAGCAGATACCTATTGTCTTCCTGTGCCTTACTGCCCTGTATTAGTGTTGCTGCACAGGGGATGCAGGGGGCTAATAGCAGACAAATTCAAGTACTTGTATTAGTTGTGCCTAAAATGCATTTAAAGTGAACCTGTATTATAAAAAAAAAGAACAACAACACTTCAGCTGTATCTTATGGTCAGTTCTTGCACTCTGTTAGGCATGCCTTGCATTCATGTAGCGGCGTAAGTAGAAATCATGGTGGGCTGCATAGCAAAATTTTGTATGCCCTCCCACCAGCCCACCAGAAAAAGAAAAGTACCTACCTCCAGAACACGTCCCTGTGCCATCTCCTTCTCTTCAGCTCTGCTCCTGCTGGCTCTGACATCAGAGCTGAAGAAGAGATCACTGCTCACTGCTGCACAGCCCACCATAGACCTGGCTCAGAGTGACCCCGCACGTACCAGAGACCCCACACAGCCCACCTGAGAGTGACCCAACAGAGCCCACTTGAGACACTGCAGAGCCCACCATAGACTCTCTACGGTGGGCTCTGCAGGGTCTCAGGTGGGCGCTCCTCTTACCTGTCAGCCTCCTGCTGCTGTGCCCCAGCCTCCTCCACAGCCAGACCGGTGCTGCTGGGCCCCAGCCTCCTCCATTACCACGGGGCAGTGGCCTCCTCTGCTGCTGGGCCCCGGCCTCATGGTAGGGTTCATGTTACTGGTAAGTAGTGAAATTTCACAGGGGCCGCAGTGGGACATAAGCAGGTGGGTAAAGCCATAGCCAGAGGCTGGGGACAAGGTTGACTTTATACATGTTTTCTTAAGTGAAAATGTCTATATATCTGCCTAGAGTTCAGCTTTAAAAGATCTGGACATGATAGGTTAAATGTTTACGTTTCTGAGGACATAAAACAAAGAAATGCAAATGCCGGATTCATTACCAGGTCGCAGAAAAGACTTGGTCTGTGATTATGTAATGTGGACGGCGAGCTTTACTCTCAGTAACGTCTAGCTGACAGTTCATTCATCCGGTCACTTACCAGCTAGTAATACATTTCTTTGACTAAGCATTGCAGATCTTATATTTAGCGCTCCGGTAATCTGATCATACTCGGCTTGAACTTTTTTTAGGCAGCGGGTCAGGGATGGGCTAGAGCCAGCCGTCTTATAGCAGTCAGCCTGCTACCTTAAGAATCAGTCTTCTCAGATGACATGCTGGTCTTGTCTTACACTTTACATTGCCAAGTAAAAAGCCACACGGACAATGGTGATACCATTGTTAGAGGCCATCATCGTATTTTAATCCAGTTTAAGGTTGAATTTACTGAACCCAAATGAAAACGTAATTAATCCAGCTATTTATGCATTACATAAGGGTCGGTTCACACTATAGTGTTGCACTAAAGGCACAGTATGCATGTGTTTAGTTCACACTATCGCATAGTGAAATGCACCACAGGCTGGGTGCGTTGTATTGCCATTCATTCTGAGTGCCACCCCAATGCATCCACAGGCAGGCGTGCATTACATTGTATTTTACGCTACCGCAATGACATGCTTTGCGTCGCCACTTGGTGGGAAAAAAATAGTGCGTGCACTGTACAGTAACACAACACACACACTATTGGGGTACAGTGCATTGCAACGCACGTCTGCTGGGAGATGCATTGGGGTGCTATTCAGAATTCAGTGTGCTATGCAATAGCATGCACTAAATGCACGGACAACATACCTTTAGCACAAAGCTGTAGTGTGAAGGAGTCCCAAAGCTGACAAAAGGACCTAAACCTCTCTCAACATCAGCATTGTATAATCCCCCTGCTCGGCAGTACGTGGGCTGGGAGAGGAGTGTCACCCAATATGGCTTTACAGCATTGCACAGTCCTCTTCTGATCCTAAAGGGGAGAACAGAACGTAATGATAATCCACTATAGTGTGCTGCTCCATTATTGTCCAGGCACAGTGAGGGGCAGGTCCTAGATTAGGATGTGCTGCACAAGTGCAGGGAGGATACTGGAGGTGCAGGATCTGGCTGTGCTTTCTGGCAGAGGGATCTGAATCGTAAGATTGGCTGGGAAATAACGTATAGCATGGGATTCAGTTTTGTAAAGACCTACAGAATTAATCGGGCAAGAATGAGGTGGTCTCAAAGGTGTTGTAAAGACAGATAAACACTTATTGTACTGTACTTAAAGGAGAACTATGAGGTGAGTGCCTTTCACTCACCTCATAGTTCTAGCCGACCTGTGACAATGAGACTGTCACAGGTTGGCTCAGTAGATCGGGCGGTGAGCGAACACATACCGGCGTTTGCTCACCTCTCGATCCTGTCACGGCTCTCTGCCGTGACAGGGGAGGGACTGGATTCCCCCCTCCCCGCTCCGATCCTCTAGCGCTGATTGGCGGAACGGACGGGGGAGGGGGCGGGTACAGCTGGCTCTGCCTCTAGATAGGCAAAGCCAGCTGTTACTCACGCAGCTGGGCGGATCCAGACATAATTGTCGGGATCCGCTTCAGCTGCGGCGTCTCAGTGTACCGTGAGCTGTAGCTCGCGGTATACTGCACTACCTGCCTCTCCGACCAATAAAGACAACATTACACTACCTGCCTCTCCGACCAATAAAGACAACATTACACTACCTGCCTCTCCGACCAATAAAGACAACATTACACTACCTGCCTCTCCGACCAATAAAGACAACATTACACTACCTGCCTCTCCGACCAATAAAGACAACATTACACTACCTGCCTCTCCGACCAATAAAGACAACATTACACTACCTGCCTCTCCGACCAATAAAGACAACATTACACTACCTGCCTCTCCGACCAATAAAGACAACATTACACTACCTGCCTCTCCGACCAATAAAGACAACATTACACTACCTGCCTCTCCGGCCAATAAAGACAACATTACACTACCTGCCTCTCCGACCAATAAATGTTGTCTTTATTGGCCGGAGAGGCAGGTAGTGTAATGTTGTCTTTATTGGTCGGAGAGGCAGGTAGTGTAATGTTGTCTTTATTGGCCTGACTTTTATTTTTAGCAAGTTGAATTTGAGATTTCCGCTTTCTGTTATATTGTATAAAAATGAAGCATGAGAAGTTAGAGTGCTTTGTGTTATCAAATGTTTCTGGTGTACATTGTGTTTGTTGTGTGTCTATGACAACTGTAACAGGTGCTCAGCTGACAACATATCCACCAGCAGTATATATGGATTACCAAACATGGCGAGGAATATGTAAGGAAACTCAATCTAGTGACTTGAATCCGATCCCACCTGCAGCAATGAAAGATTGGCCTGTACAAAGGGAATCTGAGAGTCAAGTCATAGTGGGCTATATTGAGGGACATTAAACAATATATTGTTGTTACTTGTGATCCCTGCAAAATCAACTCTCTTGTGGTCTTTAATATAAATCCCCAGCTGCTTCATTTAGAACTATTTATGGACAAATAGTGTAAATGTATCAGGAACTTGTTACATATGTAGAATTTGATTAGTTATTAGTGGACAGTTTGATGGCCAGTTTTTCTTTTTGTGGTACTTTAATGAGAATGAAGCTGTACTGAGTGATCACTGTGAACACACACTTGGATAGAAGAGCTATAAAGTGCCAATACCTGTCGTCATTATTCTGGTCAACCCTCCAGAGCTCTTTGAACAGCTTATATAAGTAGAGAGCCCAGGCACCTCAATTCTCCCTTAACATCCCATGTGGCAATGACGCGGCCTTTTGGTTGTTTACATATTACATATTATTTTGGAGTGAGATCTGGAGCATCGTTTTGCCCAAAAATGTAAGAAAAGAATAATTATCTATTACTAACCAGGAATCTATTCTCAGTTCTTTATCACCCTCTGCAGCTATAGATTTAGTGTGATTCGGACATGATAGCAGTGGGTACAGATTACGTTACTATTGTGGCAACCATTCAGTGTTAAATGCAATGCTTAGACTGAAATACTTGGTGGTTGTTCATGCAGATTATGTAATTACTATGTCATTTTCTTGATTTATATTTTCTCTTGTGAAACGTTATACGTTTTCTTTTCCAGTCTGAACAACAGAAGAAGAGACAAGAAGCAGAAAAACAACATAAAGAGGAGAGGAAAAAACTGCGCCGTGCAGCTGGACACTTGAGGGGCAAACCAGCAAAAGGGAGACCATTTTATTAGAAGACTGGACCTTGTCCCAGAACCAATGTGAAACGAGGCGAATCGATCTGAATGCACATATGATTGGCCAGTCTGCCCAGAATATAGAATTCTTAAGTCACGATTGCCCAGATTCATGAATTTTGCTGCAGGTCAGACGGATGCTAATACTCAGGAGAATCATTAGTGGACATCATTGATGGCCATTTCCAATCCTAGAGGATGAATGGTTTACAGCAACTCAAAGTGTCACCTAAGCGGAATGTGGATCAAGATGGATGCTTTATTAACCGCTTGCTGTCCGCCCGTTGTGAATAAACGGACAGACAGCAAAGTCCCATGGGCGGCTTGCCGTAATTAGACGGCTTTCTTTTCCTGCTCACGCGCGCCCCCGGGCAGATAAAACCCGTTCGTTCTTTACAGCCGTTACCGGCTGTTTGCCATACTACCAATTGGCGGCTCTATAGCCTGCCGATCGGTTGTATGTTACGTTTTGCTCGGGGGGGCATCGGGAGGTAAGATGGGAGGGAGTTCAGCATCTTTCTCCTTGCTGATCTCCCTCCGTGCTGTGAATGCAGAAGTGATGTGTAATACATTACCTCCGCGTTCATCTGTCAGTCATCTGGCTGCTATAGCCAGAGAGAAGAAGCAGATCTGTCCCCAGGTGACATTAGGGGTCTTGCAGATTTTAAGGCTCGACATGTTTGGTGTGTTTTTTACCCAACGTGACCCCGCCTTTTATATTTTACCAAAAAATTGGGTAATAATGTTTTATAATTTAATATAGGGGAAACAGGTTTTTTTTTTTATTATTTTTGGTAATTTTTCCGTAATATAGTAAAAAATATAAAACCCACCAGTGGTGAATAAATACCACTAAAAGAAAGCTCTATCTGTCCCCAAAAAATGGTATAAAATGTATTTCCCATAACGTCTTCCAGGACAGCATCACGAGATGGAATCTCCTCATGCTGTCCTGGAAGACTAATGGAAATAGAGTTATCGGTAAGTCCTAACTCTGAATTTCAGTACAGCGTTGCATGACGGAATAAATGTCAGTCAAAGTACCGCAGCGCTGAATACTGACAAATGGCCTGGATGGGAAGGGGGAGTAACACCGCGGACTTCAAGTGGTTAAATCTCTATTGGCACATCACCGGTGGGTGAAGTTTGAATTGAATATCTACCCAATATATATATATCATCAAAGCAGAAGCCTTGTCCATTCTCATAACTTTTAAATAAAAATCACTTATTTTTTTTTTTTCTGGTATCACTTGTATATAAGTTACGGAAAAAGAACCCATCAGGATAAAAGAATGAACAGTAAATATACATAATAATGGTTGTGCAGTTTTTTACTTGCACACTTGGATTTTCCTCCATGCATATCGGTCTGATGTGAGAATTTCACGATTCAGACAATGGCAATTAATGAATTCTAATATTCTCTGAAGATGCAGCAAATCTGCATAAATATATTTTGGGAATAAATCTGATGATCTCTAGTAGGGATGCACCAATACAAGTATCGTGCCGATACCCAGTATTTGGGCGGGTGCTTGTACTCACCCAAATGCTCAGATACTTACCCCCGACACTGGACCTTCTGGTCAGAGGGAGATTCCCTCTGCAGGCAGTGCCGCGAGGGAACATGGAGCCGGCTTCCCAGCCAATCAGAAAGCTGGACGGCGGGTAATGACTCGCCGCCCGGTTTCCTGATTGGCCAGGAAGACGGCTTCCCAGCCAAACAGAATGGAGCTGGCCTCTCAGCAATGACCCACTGCCCCGCTTCCTGATTGGCCGGAAAGCCAGCTCCATGCCAGCAGAACTATCGGTATCGGTGCATCCCTAATTTAGATGAATATTTTGCATTCATATATTTCACTTTGATTCCACAGCTGCTATATATATATATATATCATACAGCTACTCTTCAAGCGGGTATTCAAACTATGTGACTTATTTACCTATACACTCACTGGGCACTTTATTAGGTACACCTTGCTAGTACTGGACCCCTTTTGTCTTCAGAACTGCATTGATTCAGCACGGTGATGGAAACATTCCCCAGAGAGTTTGGTCCATACTGATATGATAACATCACACAGTTGCTGCAGATTTGTCGGCTGCACATCCATGATGCGCAGCTCCACCAGCCTTGATACAAGGTGGGATGGATCCATGTTTTCATGTTGTTTACATCAAATTCTGACCCGACCATCCGAATGTGTCAACAGAAATCGAGACTCATCAGACCAGGCAACGTTTTTCCAATCTTCTATTTTACAATTTTGGTGAGCCTGTGCTAATTGTAGCCTCCGTTTCCTGTGCTTAGTTGACAGAAGTGGCACCCGTGCGATCTATAACCGATCTACTGAGCCGACGTGTCACAGTTTCATTGTCACAGGTCGGCTCAGATTATGAGGCTGAGTGAAAATCACTCGCCTCATAATTCTCCTTTTAAATCACCTTTCTTCCCCATTCTGATGCTCAGTTTGAACTTCAGCAGATCGTCTTGACCAGGTCTACATGCCTAAATGTATTGAATTACTGCCATGTGATTGGCTGATTAGATATTTGTGTTAACGAGCAGTTGAAGAGGTGTGCCTAATAAAGCGGCCGGGGAGTGTATATCCACCATGAAACAAACTTCAAGTTGACTTGGTAGGCCTGAAGTATTTTTAGCGTACTATTAACTTAACTTTTTCCTGCTTTGAGCAAAGTTTCATATCATCCACACACGATTTCCTTGTTACTTAAATGGTACCTCAGCAGGAAAGCTGTAAATCAGGTGTGTTCCAGTTGATTCATCTGCACCCAACCTTTGTTTTTTTAAACAAACGCTAAAGGTACACAGCGAAGTATGGATTGTGAAAAAAAAGTAGTCCATGTCCACTCATTAAAGCTGAATTGTTTTTGAAGCATTTGTTTTTCAGTGGATTTGTAACAAAGATTGGGTACAAGCGGCATGGTCATGAACACTACATGTATTTTTATTTATATGGCCTGGCTAAAAATAGTTACACACCCTAATATTTAATTGGAAGACCTTTAGCTTTGAATACCGTGGCATTGTTTTAATAAGCTTATGCAATGTCACAACATTTATTTCCATCCAGAGTTATTTATTTTTCACCAAGATCTTGTAGTGATGATGGGAAAGTCAGAGCACTGTGTAAAGTCTTCTCCAGCACATCCCAAAGATTCTCAATGGGGTTAAGGTCTGGACTCTGTGGTGGCCAATCCATATGTGACAATGATGTCTCATGCCCCTGAACCACTCTTTCACAATGTGAGCCCGATGAATCCTGGCCTTGTCCTCTTGTAATATGCCCAATGTGCCATCAGGGAAGAAAAAATCCATTGATGGGAAAACCTGATCATTCAGTATATTCAGGTAGGCGGCTAACTTTTGGGGGCAGTGGTGGACCTAATAACCAAAGGGCCCAGGTGCAAGATTTTATCTTTGGGGCCCACCCTCGGGGGGGGCGGGAGCGGATCACACTAGCCCCCACCCCCCCAGCGGTCTGTTGCAGTAGCGTGCTGGACTTACCTGAGACCCTGCATAGCCCAACTGAGACTCTCTATGGTGAGCTCTGCAGGGTCACAGGTGGGCTGGTCTGGTCTGGTCGTCGGGATCCCTTTCCCTGTACCTCCTCCCAACTCTTCTTACCTGCTGCTGCTGGGGCCTGGCCTCCACCCCCCTCCCCTGTCACCTCTGTCTTGCCGCCCCGGTACAGTTGATACCCATGTAAGAGGCCCCCCAGACCCCTCGCATGGGTACCGGCCATACCCCCCTGATGGCCGTGTTCTATCAAAGGTTGTGACTACGTTGGAATCTATGACCGGTGACGTGGTCACACGTTTTAACGTAATCCCGCCCAGTTTCCCGGCAGTGGAATGTGTGACCGCCAATAGGTGAAGCATTCCAGTGCTTTCCCAGCTGTTCCAGGGCAGATCGGCATCGCAAATCGCATGTGCAGGAGAAACGATCTGCCCTGGAACAGCTGATCGGTCCTGAAATGTCACTTCTATCGGACTGCGATCTCACGTTCCACTGCACTCACAAAGTCGGATAGAAGTGACATTTCAGGACCGATCAGCTGTTCCAGGGCAGATCGTTTCTCCTGCACATGCGATTTGCGATGCCGATCTGCCCTGGAACAGCGGAGAAAGCGTTGGAATGCTTCACCTATTCCACCGCCGAAAAACTGGGCGAGATTACGTTAAAATGTGTGACCACGTCACTGATCACACATTCTAACGTAGTCTCAAACTTTGATAGAACAGAGGCCTGTCTATAATCATTTAATCAGAGAAATAGATTATAAAAGGGAACATTACAGTGTAATGTGATGTCTGCGTTTCGTTTTATTTTTTTCAGGCTTTTCCTTGTATTTTCATCTGTCCCGACCCAGTATCTGCGTTTGCGCACAGAAGGGATTAACGGGGAAACTGGCATTTATTTACATAAGTATTCGTTTGTAGTGGTTAATTGTCACCATTAATAATATGCCGTCCATGTCCGTAAATGATGGAATAATATTAACGGTCACAATTAAGCATTTAAAGAAAATACTTTGTAAATAAATCCCTGTTTCCTCGTTAATACTGGTCTGTGCGCAAGCGCAGATGCTGAGGTCAGGACATTCGACTACGGTATCTGCGTTTAGTATCGGGGCATTTTCACGGGTATGAGTACTCGTGAAAATGCCCAGTATTGGCACTGGTGCATCCCTACTTAAAAATATAATACATTGCTGGGACCGGGAAAGGGTCCTCGCACAGCAGAATGTGCTGCGTGGAGGTGCCTGCAGCACATTATGCGCGACTAGTGACAGCCTCTCCAACCCAAAGCTAAGTATATAGCTTGCTATATACTTAGCTTTGGGTCACAGGCGGAGCTTAGTATATGTCCCCCAGTACAGCCGCCTGTAAATGCTGCTGGTGGCAGACCAGCGGGGGAAGGAGCGGCACTATCTCGGGGGAGGGGCCCTCTTCTTCCTCTCTGGCCCCCCCCCAACAGGCGGAACGCCAGGGCCCGGTTGCA